GGAGGAGTTGCAGCTGTATTTGCTGATAAACTTTCATCTCATTCATTTGCTGGTTTTTAGCGTGTTTTTAACTCTGGTCGTTTTTGTCGTCATTGCATGACTTCTTATGTTGATAAAAATAAATTTTTGGCTGAATGTGATACAACAATTCGTACCAATGAAATGTATCATTATCATTTAGCTGCTGTTTCTGGTCTAGGTTGCATTTCTTCTAGTGTGTACGGTGTTGATAAACACTGTCCTTTGTTAGATTTACCATACTTTAATGTTTTAAAGTCTTTCCCACCAGACATCATGCATGATATGTTAGAAGGATTAGTTTCATAATCAGTAAACAGATTAACACAAAGCTTAACATTTTTGAATTTGGCAGAAATGTCAGGAAAAACAAACCAGTACCATTTGTTATCTGTACTGGTGCGTCTATTAACTTTGTTGGTTCAGCGTCACAGATTTTTTGAATGGTTCGTTTACTACCATTTATGATTGGTAATTGCATACCAATATCTAATGCGTATTGGTTACTGTACTTGCAGCTGCGAGATATTGCTGATTACGTACTTGCTCCAAATATTTCAAAAACTGCTTTATCATATCTTCAATTTTTAGTGGAGCACTTTTTGCAAAATTTTATTGAACTTTTTTCTGATAATTCAACACTTAAGTTTCAATTCATGCTTCATTATGCTCGTCTGATTAATGAAAATGGACCCTTAAGATATTTATGGCGCATGCGTTTTGAAGCTAAACATTTGTACTTCAAAAAGTTAGCTTCTTGCATTAGAAATTTTAAAAATATAGGTTTTTCTCATGCAAAGCGACATCAGCTGAGACAGTATTGGGAGATGGCATCTTCTGATATTGTAAATGAAAAGTATGAAACATCTAATCTATGTTCAATTACCTTTGATAGTTTAGCAACTTATCTTCAAGAAAAGTTGCTGTCTTTTTTTTTTAATGATAATAATGATAAAAAGGAAACAGTTTGGAAGTGTAATGCCATTGCAATAAATAGAATCCAATTTCACGTTCATGATACCGTTATTTTAGGTTTACTTCATGCAGAAAAAATTCCTTTATTTTTCAAAATTTATAATATTATTCAATTTCGCCAACACTGGGTATTTTGTGGTAAGTTGCTAATTTGTGACAAATATAATGAGCACTTGCATGCATTTAGAGTTATCGAAGACGAAACCTTGTCAATATGCTTGCCAACAGGAGTTTGTAATTATCAACTTCTAGACACATATAGAATACAAGATGGCAACTTTTATATTACGCTCAAATACTTGTGTTTTAAATAAATAAAATAAATAAATTCTGAAAGGTTTTTTTGTTTTTGATATTGTCTGCTGCACAAAAAAAGCACACAATATATATGTCAAATTTGTTGATCAAGCGATTTGCAAACAATAATATTGATAGATAAATGTAGTCAATAATTACTATAAATAACTTTACTATTAGTACTCTAGATTTAATAATGGTAAAAATGATAATAAAATGATAGTGATAATGATAATAAAAATAAAATTGTAAGCATGACAAAATTATTTTCATAACAGCAACAAACATGACAGAAGTTAATAAAATTTCTATAATTTTAACTTTGCAAATATAATATTTTAGTTATTCCTACTGTACTTTTCTCAATTTATAGTTTATTCGCAACATTACGTTTGTTAAAAATTGTTAAAATATAAATATAAAATTGCCCAATGGTATTGTAATATTTTTTTTCAATAAAGATCAAGTAAAGATATTTAACCTTAAAGCTTAAAATTAAATTATAGTCGGATATTTATAACGATGTTTAGCTTTCATGTTAAAAACAATTTACTTTTAATGTAGAAGAAAAAATTGATGGAAAAACATTGTTGAGTTTAACGGAAACAATGGTTTCAAATTTGTATGTAACAATGCAAAATCAAGTTATGCTGTTGGAAATAATAAAGAATCTTCAAGCACCGCCTGCACAACAAGTTAATTTAAAGTAAGTTTTGATAAAGTTTAAATTCCTTAATACAATTAACAAATAACTTTTTGCTAATATAAAAATATTGTGTTTATTAGTGTGTCTGACCTTAGTGTACTTCAGAGTAGTGCATCAGAAGCGTGTTACACTGGTGCTAGGAATATTTTAGTGGGATCCATTAGAACTGCGACACCATGGCCAGTTCGGTATCAACTACCTATTTTACCACCAGCAGTTGTTAGAGCTTTGGAATCCAAAGACAGTTGCTTTCTGCAGTATAGAAGGAAAAGCTGCAGTAACCAATTGATACAATGTTTATAAGATGACATCAACAAATTTACATTGTAAGAGTGTTTTTCATTGAAAGATACTATGAAAATCTCTGTGTTTGTGTATTTTGTTTTGATGCTGTTTTCATCTTTAATTTGTGTGTTAATGTTATTTTTACCTTTATAACTGACAATAGTTACAAATACCCCATTCATACAGGCAATAAAACACATAAACACCTAATAATGTTGTTACTGTAACTTTTACAAATTTACAATAAAAAAATATTGTGAGGTTGCTGTGTTACTGTTAAAGTTTTATTTAAAGGTATCCATCCAGTACCCAATAATCAGATGTGCTTTCTATTATATGTAGCAAGTATCCATATTTGAATGACTTCCCTTCAAGGAGTTTTAGTTCATCACAACAATACCTACTATTGGTAAGTTGTTTAATGGCTAATATAAATAAATAATATAAATTATATAATGTTATAACAATATGTAATATATTTTAAGTGTATATGCATATATAATGTATATCGTATACATATATACATATTTATATACAGCATATGTATATAATTTATACAATCTGAATGCACATGTCAAATAAATTTACTTATAATGGCAGCCTACGCTATTGGAAAGTCTAAAAAACTAGTTCAAAAAGAAAGACTCCCTTTAATCAATATTGAGACTGTTGCTATCCATAAAAGCACATTTGGCAATCTAGGATCAAGAGGACGCAAACGCGCAAACGATTGTTTTGAGAATGAAGAAGCTTATAGAAGGACACATAGTTGGTTTGTCCGAGCAAAGGATTTTGATGGTCGATTTCGTACAGTCGATCTAAAAGCTAAATACCTATGGCTTTACTCTGCAGAATTAGTATGCTTTTAACTGTTCTCTTTATTTTATTTTTTGTGTTTTAACTCATCTTCTATATAATATTGCCGAACTTAATAGTTTTAATAGTAGTGTCCCTTGGAGCGTATTTGACACGAAACCCTTGGCAGCCATTGCAACCGAGGTATTGGCAAGAAAGAGTCGCAGCGCTATAAGAAAACGTGAACGAACATCTAACGTACGTAAACTTTAACTTATGTAATGTTAAAGCATATGTTAAAACATACTGAAACATTTATCACGTTTTACAGTTTGATTTTTACTTGAAAATTACATTGCGTCAACCTCTCCTTAATTTTGATCTAACATTTTTTTCCTCAAAAAAATTACTACATTTTTATAAAATCTACACTTGATGATATGCCGGCGTAGCTTGAGTGGATAGGGCGGCGAACTTCTGAACAAGGAACTAGAGGTTCGACTCCTACCAAAGGCGGCTATTTTTTTTAATTTTTTTAATTATTTTAAAATACAAAATACTTTCGAAGTTTTATAAAGATTATATACAAACATATGTAACGTAACAATATTATGCACTCACAAAAGAAAAGATTTTAAGAATGCTAAAACTTCATAAAACATTAAAAAAAAAAAAAAAAAAACATCACCAGGAGAAAAAATATGTTGCGTATCTATGATAATTGAGACACTTATGTTTATAATGTGCGAATGTAATTAGTCCTAATAAGCTGCGGATGGTCTAAAAAAAAAGTTGTCTGAAACTTAATAAAGAAAAAACTTAACAAGACAGCCCTGCTACTTCATAAGATGCTGCTGTGGAGGCAAAAAAAAAAAGCCTGTAGCTAGATAAAACTTTAAAACTTTCTTTTGACAATTAAAAGTTTATTTTGCTACGTTAACTTTTTTACTATAAATATATGCAGCAACTGTTTTTCAAAACGCCTTAATATGCTTATGACGTAATTCAAAAAAACCCCAAATAAAAATAAAATTGTTTGGAAAAGCTCTTCGTAAAACGTTTTTTGAAACGAATAATTTTTATTTTGTTTTTTTTTTCTTTTGTGCAACTTTCTTTTCAATAAATTTCTTTACCTTTCAGAATATGACCATTTTTAACAATGCTATAGAAAAAATATCAGTAAATTGATTAGTAGTATTTCAATTATATTAATTAAATTAAATTATATATATTAAATTATATATTATATATATTAAATTAAATAGATAAAGAAATTGATATTCAGTTAATACATGGGTATTTTTTTTTTTTTATAGTTAGTGACAAAATAGACTAATTAGATAAGTCGTTTAGTAGAATGCTAAGAATATATTTATGGCGGTTATTGTTGTTAAGGGTGATTAATAGGCAAATAAATTAAAAGCTAATCAGGGCTTTGAATAAATTATAAACTAATCAGGGAAGTTTTATCGGTAAACCTAATAAATAGGAAGATAACATATAATTCAGGTGGACATTGTTTTAACTTTTTCGCCAAACTTTGATATCTTTGATATTAAAAAATATGACTTTTCCAATAATTATAGATGGTAGTGTATTAACCTTTTTTTTCGGAACCACAATCCGTTATGATTTATATTTTATCAATGTGAACGAAAGTCTATTCAAATATCTAAATATGTAAACTTTAAGTTCTTTAATTATCAATCAGTATAATTATAAAGTAGATGACATCAAATTCTACCGATTTATTTTTACTTAATAATTTCATTGCGACAATATCTTTTTATTTTAAAGCATTAAATGTTGTTTTTTAAAGTTTAATAAGTTTTCTGTTTATTAAACAATATTAAGATATAAACAAATATTAAATGGTTTTTGTATTACGAAACGTACGCCAACTCTTAAACCACTGTAAAACTACCTTGCGGTTATCTAATTAAATCCACCAAATCCGTTAATAAAAACAGCTTAATTAATAGATTCAAAACCATCTGATTTTTGTATTATGATATGTGCGCCAACTGTACTCTAAAACCAATAAAACTCGGCCATGTGGTCTTCATATCGATTATAACAATTGCAAAGCGAGGGACGACAAGTAAGTTTTATCTACAAGTTTAATTATTGTAATCTTCATTTAAAAAATTAAACTTATTTTATAATTACCATGTTAATATGTTTGAAGTTAATATGTTTTTGACCCAAGAATAAACATTAAGATTATTTTTTAGAAATGAGCAGCCAAGATACAGAAGGTATTCTTCTAATTTTGTATAACATTAATTAATTAAAGAGATAAAAAGAGATGATACGTCAATAATACTGAGGTATTTAGCTTATTATTTTATTAAGAAATTACATTAAGATAATTTTGTATATCTTTAGGCGACGAAGAAGTTTCTGCATTTTTTCGAAGTAAGCCATATATATATACTATATATAGTAGCAGTTACATATGTTCTAAAAGTGGCGGAGCTGTACTTGATTTACGGTGTGAATAAAACGATGATTTAATTTAGGCGTTTTCAATTAAAATCAACCAAGATATGCCGCCCTCCCCTAACCCCATGAATCAAGTACACCCCCCTAAAATTTAACTAAAATTAAAAAATATATAAATTAATTTTTAGAACTTTAAAAGGGTGGACCCAAAACTCAGTTTTTGTTTATTCCGTTATTTTGATTGATGTTTTTGTAAAGCAGTGAACCTTAAAAATGCGTATAAGCTTTATTTAAGGTGTTTAAGCTATAATTTTATAAAACGTGTTTAAGCTAAAATTGACTTTTAAGTCTTCTAACTACTAAACTTTTACGTAAAATGAAACTTTTTGTCATTTACTGAATGTGTTAAATTATAAAACTGTGCAACAGTTTTAAAATTTAAGACAAATCTTATATGTTTAATTGAAAAAGTAAATATTTTGAAAATTAATTTTGTCTATATATATATTAGATGTTCAAGAGATCAGAGCCGAAGAGCTCTTGCCAAGTAAGCTAATTTTGTGTGAGAAGGATATGTTACAAATATATATATTTCACCAATTTCAGCAATTTGTTAATTATAACTTTTTTTTAATGTTTAGCGGAAGTAATGGACAAGCTAAGTGAGGAATTTTGTTGTTGTTTTTTGTTTTTTTTGTGTGCAAATACATTTATGCTTTTTTAGTTTTTTTAAAGTTATTTAGCAACTGACTTTTGTCAGTTGTGACAGTTTGTCAGTCAGCAAGTGACTTTTGTAACTTTTAAATTTATTTTATTTAGAAAAAATAGAAGATTCTGTTGAGAATCTAAGTAAGCAATTTGTTATTGTTGTTGTCATGCTCTTTATTTTTTTTATTACATATTTATTTAACATAAAGTTATTCTATATTTGGCAAGTTAGTTTATTTTAATGTTTATAAGTTTTTCATTTTATTTAGAAAAATTAGAACATTCAATGGGTAAACAGAATTTGATTATATTACATTTGTGTATTATAGATAAAGATATAGCATTTTACTTTCAAAAAAAAAGGTATATTCTATGGTCTTTTAGCTTTTTTGATACAAATTTTAGCATTTTTTTTTATAGGGCTTATATTTCAACAACTTAGTAAGTTACTATATTGTTCTTGTGGATTGTTTCTTTAGTTTATTTTTTATTTTTTTTTTGTCGCTTTTTTATTTTTTGGTTTGTTTTGTTTTGTGATTGTTATTTTTGCCTTTAGTTTTGTTCCAACTTTATTTATAGATTTCCTAAAGTTGACAAATATTCTGCATGTTAGTTTCTTTCCTAATGTTAATGAGTTTTTTTTTATTCTATTTAGAAAATTTAGAAAATTCAATTGGTAAGCAAAGTACACTTATGTTTCTTTTTGTTTAATTTTAACACACATTTTTTGATGTTTGTGTGCGGTTTTATCACTCTAAAAAAAACTGTTTAATTGATTAGTATATGTTAGTTTATGTAAATATATTTTTTACCTCCACTATAGCGTCATCTGCAGTACCATCAGGTAATGTGTTTTGCATTCTTATGCAGTTTTAAGAGTGTTATGTGTGTTAAAACTTAAAGATAGCATATCTTAATTTACAGATTACTTTATTTATTTATTTTTTTGTCTCTACATTAGCACCTCAAGCAATAATATCAGGTAACTGCATAAGTATGTTTAGCATACTTATGCAGTTTTATGGGTTTTATGTGTATTGAAATTAAACATTACTTTTTTCATGTTTGTTATCAATTACATAAATGTTTAACATATTCACTGTATACACTTTTTTTTTTTTTTACTTTCACAATAGCATCAATATCATCTGCAGTACCATCAGGCAATGTGTTTTGCATGCTTATGCAGTTTTATGAGTGTTATGTGTATTGAAACTTAAACATTACTTTTTTCGTGTTTGAATGCAATTACATAACTGTTTAATATATGTGTTTGTTTATATACTTTTTTATTCATTTCCGCAATAGCAACAGTATCAACTGCAGTACCACCAGGTAATGTGTTTTCCATACTTATGCAGTTTTTCCGTACTTATGCAGTGTTATGTGTATTGAAACCTAAACATTACTTTTTTCATGTTTGTATGCAATTACATAACTGTTTAATATATGTGTTAGTTCATATACTTTTTTATTTATTTTCATAATAGCAACAATATCTGCAGGACCATCAGGTAATCTGTTTTCCATACTTATGCAGTTTTGTGGGTGTTATGTGTATTTGTGTAGGTATATATGAAATTTAAACATTGCATATCCTTATTTTTACATTACTTTATTTATTTATTTTTTTTGTCATAACTTTTTTTTTTTGAAGTCTAAATAGTTTTAAATAATATTTTTATTGGTTGTTTTGTGCAGTATTGTATTCAAATTTATTTCTTTTTTTGTTTTTGTTTTTTAGCATCGCATCAAGATTTCCTGCAATATCGCTCCCAGCACCCAGGTCCAATATCTCCAAGAGCTTTTTACCGGTGGAGTCAATATGGGGGAGATGATCCCTCCTTTAGATGGAGGAGACAAGCCCCATATGACACCACTGGTAGAAGGAGGGGTGCTGGAAAGCGGTTTAACTCTTTTAATTTCTATCAGTAGCTTTTTTAAACTAGTGGTAGAATTATCTTTTTTTTTATTTATAAAGAAAATTGACTTTTTAAAAAAATGTTTTTTTTAATTTCGCAATTTTTTATTATTTTAATTTATATACTTTTACTATTTTATTTTTTTGATTTTTAATTCTGTTTTTTAATCCTAAACTTACAAAGAACTCTTATGTTATAAAAGTTTTTAATAATTTGTCTATAAGTTTTTTTATTAATTTACGTTTATACATCTTTTTATCCTCATTTTTAATTTTAATAATACTAAATTTTCTTTTGTATTAACTTTTATTTGTTAAGTGTTATATAGTTTTTGAAAGATTTGGTAAATATATTTAAAGTTTTTCTTTTTCTATGATATCTGTTTAATATGTCTAATATATGCACAATACACCTATTAATCTCTTTAGATATATTATAAAATAGTATTTAAAATCAGTTGTCAGCCACATGTGGTCTATATGATGCAACATGTTTGCAATTGTTGGCATGTCATTTAAAAATTTGTAACTAATTTTGCTTTTTAATATTACCATTAATATGACTTTTAAAATAATAAAATTTTTTATTTGTTTCAAAAAATACTGTTTTATTACTTACAATATAGTATGTTATTACAAGATACTTCTGGCTTTTTCTCTGTTTCAAACCAGTTTAGTTATATCTTTTGTTTACAAATTTTATTAGACGCTATACACATAGTTTCATAGGTTTAAACTGATAAATAGCACTTTATTGTTTTTGTTCATTTTAGATTAGTATAGCAAAAAATTAATAAGATATTCGTTTATATATCTTTATTTATATTTATGTGGTTAAGTTTATATAATTTTATATTAAGTTGTTTCCATGTGAAAAGTGGTGTTACTTGGCAACGTGTAGTGCAAGATTGTGATTCTTGCTAGCCAAGCGGTGTTACTAATGATGTTACTTGGCACTTAATGCCAAGCGGTGTCACTAAATTGTGGTGTTACTTGGCAGCGTTTAGTGCCAAGCGGTGTTACAAGTGTTGAGCTAGGTTGTGTTGTCTAGCTTTTTTAATTATTCTGGAAACACATAATCTAAATATTTTGTGTTATGTACAAACATTTTATGCTATGTGTATTCAGTAGCACTGGCAGGGTCTTTTGATGCTTCAGATAGCACTTTCAACCAAACTTAAGTGTATTCACGTTTATAGAATTAAAAAACTTTGCAAAAAATTGATGTTGTTAAAGCTTAGGAACAAATGTTTAAAAAAAGTGTTTTTCCTAACCTGATTTTTTTTTAGACATAACAAAGTTAAACTCTTCAACAGCTTCTAAATATATCTGAAACAACAAAAATCCTGCCTACACTATATATTCTATATATCTGAAACAACAAATTCCAAACAAAAAATAATTCTATATATCTGAAACAACAAAAATCCTGCCTACACTATATATTCTATATATCTGAAACAACAAATTCCAAACAAAAAATAATTCTATATACCTGAAACAACAAAAATCCTGCCTACACTACTGGTGTTATTGTTTGTCATCCTGTAATATTTTTGTGATGTTTTGTGTTAATAGACAGCTTGGCTTACATTCACGTTGGTGTCTATTGTTAAAAATGATTATTGGGTAGCTTCATTACTGAAACTTACTCCTAATCATTCACTAAAAGCCAAGAAATATTTTAAGAAAAAGCCTAATTTTTTTGTGTCAGTAAGAATTTTTATCTTTAGCAATGCTGATAAAACTGAATTTTTTTATAAAAAGAGTATTTCCAGTCTTCCAAACAAATATTAGAAACTTTTACAAAAGCACTCTTTAGATAATGCTTTTATAATCAATTTAAGTCTTTCAAATCGTTAATCATTTTCTAAAGGCGAAGAAGAAGAATCATCAATCTTCATACTATTTAATAAAGCTATTTTAATAAAACGCAATACAAATTGTTGTAAATTAGTATTTGAATAATTTTCACGTTGCTACCTTATTTTGCAGTTTCCTATCACTTTGTATTAAATTAACTAAATCCAATATTACAGTTCCTTATATCAAGTACTTCACATTTTCTGTTTTTGTTTTATGCAGAAAAACAGATCAAGTTAATTTATTTGACTTGCCTAGCTACTTATTTTTCACGCCTAGCGACAGTTAGTGTGCATAAATCAACAAAGGATTTGGGTTTGGGCTGGTTGTCTTGAACTAAATGATTTACCTTCTTCATGTTAAGCTCTAAATATAAATATACGGAAAAGGTGCATATGTGATTTTTTTTTTTTTTTTTTTTTTTTTTTCTAGCACATAATCTATTGTTCACTAAAAAATATTAGAGTGAGAAATAAAGATAAGGTTAATGTGGAATAGAGTTTGGCCTTTTAAGTGAAAAACTATTTTATAATCTATCTATCTTCTATATAATAATGCCAAACTTAATAGTAGTGTTAGTAGGAAGAGTCGCAACACTTTTTTTAGAAGAAAACGTGTATGCAAATATCTAACGTACGTAATTAAGTAATGATAAAACATACTGAAACATTTTTCAAGTTTTATACTTTGACTTTGACTTAAAAATTGCATTGCGACAACTTCTCCTAATTTTTTGATCTACAGCAATTCCGTTAAAAACAATTTTTATATATTTTTAAAATTTCGATATTTGATGTGTCAGCATGGCCGAGTGGTTAGCGCGCTAAGCCTCTGAACGTAATAGTCGTGGTTCAAATTTACCGCCAGCGATTTTTTTCTTTAAATTACAAAATATTTGTGAAGTTAAACAAGTTAAATGTTATACACTTTAACCGTTTTTTTTTTTTTTAATTTTATAAATTTTTTGGATTTCTTAAAACACCAATAAACGTGGCGAAAATTTTTTGCGTGTGTCACGATTTTGATACTGTTCTCGCATAATTGGTCCTAATAAGCTACGGATAGTCTTAAAAAAAAAGGTCCTAAAACCTAATAAAGAAAAAAATTTGATAAAACCGTCCTGCTACTCCACATGGTATTGCAGTGGAGGCAGAGAAAAAAAAAGCAATT